TCCAGATGCCACAAGATAGAATAGCCAGTGTAGGCAAGGCTCGGTTTACTGATAAGGTCTTTCCACCACTGAGGGAGGCTGGGGAACCGGGACAAGCATAAGTCTGTAGAGAGAGGCTGTCCTCACACTCAGCATGGAGGGAGAGCCTCCATTTGGTGAAACTAGTCTTACAGATCCAAACCTGCCGTGCCAGGAGATGTAACAGTGGAAATCAAACCAATTTACAAACAGTCCTACAGAGATTTGAAGTTTCTTTTCCATTGGCTGTTAGGGAAAAGTAGTTTTCTTTTTTATATTTTTTTAGGTTTTTACTTTCTGGCTTTCCCTTCCTCTGACTTTATGCACACTGATTGAAACTGAGCCAGATGCTCTGCATCTAAACAGAGAAGAGTAAGGAAAGTTATTACTGAGTCACATAGATTTGAAAGTTTTAAAATGGGTTCTCAGTCTCTTGAGTGACGTGTCTTAGAGGCTAATACAGCAGAAGAACCGGGGAGAGTGGGGTGAAATGGACACTGCTCCACATACACCCACTCCTATCCCCACTTCAGGTTAAGGTATTCCTCTTTGATCTATTTTGTACCATGGGGGTCTTTGAAATACAACTCAACTCTACTTCCAAATAAGGATTCTGGTACTAAAAGTTAGGGAACTAGCGCTCTAGTAGCTCTTCCATTGTGTATATGGAGCTTAGAATGGTAAAGAGACTTGTTTGAAGTTACGCATTTTAAAAATAATAGAAGTAGGACTGGCAATCAGTTCTTCTGATTTTCAGTCCAAGGACATGATTCCCTATATCTTGCTTCCTTTTAATAGTTGGGAAGCAGCTTTTAAGTTCTTACATGTAAAGTCACAGATCTGACCACATTGCAAGAGAAATCTCCCAGAAGAGTGAAAGAAGCATATGCTCAGCATCTGAAAGGGCGTATTTTCTCCTCACTTCTCTCTTACCTTGGACGCGCTTAAGTGTATTGCCAATTAAGTGACAGCTTGGGACAAGCCACCTTGCAAACTATACAAAGAAATGGGGACTACTAGACACTATACAAAGAAACTCTCCTAGATATGGGGAAAGGACCCTGTAATATATTTCATGGTAGATCCTCAGGATTGTGTTACAGAGAAACTTGAGTGGATGTGTTTCTCTCCACTGCCTTGTAGGGCTCCTTATTTATAGCATCACCCCAAGCTGGTCTCAGTTGTTGTACTAATGGGTAATCAAAATCTGCCAAAAGGACGCTCCGTACTCAGAGATACTTAAGAACCCTGTGTTTCCCATCAATCATACTCCTTGTCCTGTCTTTTCCTTCACCCAAGACCCTAGATTTTTAGTGATATTCAGCCCTGGTAGTTATGCTTCAAAGTGTGACATGATTCATCTCTAGGAATCTTGATTTTGGACCCTTTTATAGCTGCATATAAGTCTTTTATATATGTCAGTGCCCTCACCATAATCTCACTCACCTCCACAAACCTGCTTTCAATTAACATACAGCTAAATATCAGTGTTTGTTTCTCCCCATTCCCAGTTCTAAGCAGACTGCTGTCCTTAAGTTCCTTCTCTAAACAAATTCTAGAGCTGGCAAGAAGAAACTCTCCATTGTAGTGTAGTGAGGGCTGTGAGTGTTGAATGAAAGAACATGGGCAAAACATCTGTACAAATGGAAAGGAAGGCAGTCACTTTGGACAAAGAAATAAAACTCAGCCATTGCTGACTTTTCTGTGAATTAAAAATGATGTTGCTCCTTGTTCACTATGGCTTGCAGGTATAGCCACACAATCACCCTTAGAGCAGCTCTGTGATGAAAACCAGAACACATAAGCATTCTGTTTAGTACCAACTTGCAGTTGAGAAACTTGCAGACTTCCATCTTGCTATTGCTAAACTTCCACCTGGATTCTTCTCCTTTAATTCAGGACCACTGAACATTATTCTAAGTGACAATGTGTAGGGTAAGGAAAAAATGTCAGGCTTTTCTGCCCTCCTGCCATTAGGATTGATACCGGAATTGTCAGGCCTAGTCTCCCAGCCAGGAACGGATTCCAGGCTGCAGGGCAGCGCTGAGCCCCAGCCGCTAGACCCCCCACGGGTTGGTGTCTCACGAAGCCGCAGCAGGAACTCCACAGACGCTCAGGCAAGCAAGCGAGAAGAGGCAGTTTGTTTAGAAGAAAAAGTTTATTGAGGAGAAAAAGAGCAGAAATAAAGTGGGACTCCCAGGCCAGGGAACCAGGCCTGGGAGGGGCAAGGAAGCCAAAGTGGAGTCGTGTCTCAGGGAATATATGTTTTTTCCCTCATTATTTTAAAGCTGCCCCAGTCTCTTTGTGATTGTGTAACAGGGTGGTCCCCAGGAAAGGGGGAGGTTCCCTGCCCCACCCAAGGGAGGGTGGAGCTGAGCAGGAAGAGGAGAAGCTGAAGAAGAGACTGAGGTAGGAAGCAGGATGGAGCCAGGAGACCTGGAGGAGGCGCATGGAGCCTAGAGACACGTGAAGAAACTGCGCTTGTCTTTTGGTTGTAGACTGGGTGACACAGATGTGGGTGAGACCTGTGGGGAGGTGACAATGGCAGCTTTTATCTTGATGTTGATTTTGCTCTTTTCCTTCCGGGCTTGTCCGGCTGTTTGTGACCCTTTTCTGTGGGTCCCCACTGGAAGATGCTTTAGACTTGTGGCAGGCCTTGGGGCCTTGCTCTGGGCCAATCCCATTTGGATGGACTTTTACCCACGAGGGGATGGGTAACTTTGGGTGCTTGATTTAGAAACTAGATTTGTTGTAGAGCAACCCCGATACAAAACGGGGTGCCTGACTGTGGGTCCTCACCCGCGCGCTTAAAAGGACTTATCAATGCTCTACTGCAGGCACACGTGAAAGGTTAATAAAAGGTTTATTTACAACGGAAAGGGAAATGAGGAAATGTACAGCTCTGGGAGAAAAGTGGGAGACAAAGTTTTAAATGCGTCCTACCCGATCCGCCGATCAGGAATCCCAAAATGGCGCTCTCAGTTGGCCGCCAGCCAGGAGCGGTGAAGCCAGGAGGCGAGCGATCGCGAGCCAGAGAGCGAGCAAGGCCCACGTGTTTGGTTTTTATATCCAACCTGGCTGCCCAACTCCACCCTCAGGTCCCAGCCACCCTCCCCTTGGTGGTGATGGGATTTGTCTTTCCCAATGTCCTGATGGCTTTAGTCTGGAGTGGGGGTGGAGTCCACAAAGCCTGTATGAGATTATCTCAGGACATCCTTTCCCCCTAACAGATTCTTTGCCTTACCTGTATTGTTTCCTAGTTTTATTAAAGTTCCTTTTCATTAAAGTCTCCTATGTTTTGTGTTGATGCGGCGGATGGCAGAACCCATTTAGAATAGGCAGGTTTGCGGGGTTTTGGGCTGCCCCTCTCCCTGTCCTATAACAATTGGTTAGTTCTCGGCTGTCTCACTTAATTTGCTACTGAGTGGGGATTTTTATATTCCTTACCTAACAGCTTTCTTTTTCCCCATTTGTTGCATCTTTACATTTATGGCCCAGTCTTCTGGATGGGCATCCCTGCATTGAAGTTAAACAGCTGCCCTTCTAATGTGTCCATAAATTAAACCACTCTCCATTTCTCCAATCTCCGCCTCCCTTTACCACCTGAAGGAAACCAGGACTAGTATTAACAATGTTGTCCTTGGTTCTGGGATGTTTGTTTTTCCTAGTGGAATGGGTTACTTTCCCTTGGTTGTCCTTATCTCTGAAGCCTCCCTAAATTCTTCAGAGTTCCCCTCCTGCACTGTCCCTAAGGCTGCCTAATAAAACTAGCTTGCCCTGTCTCAGGATGGATGACAACCCTGCGGTCCTGAATGCATGCCTGATGGCGGGCCTAGGTAGATGGGATTCACCTGAGCTAAGACTGGGCTTTTAAGGGCGGCGTCTCAGGGACACCAGTAGAAGCCCAGAGAAGCAGAGCCATGAGAAGAGTAGAGAGAATGTGAGAGAAGGTCAGAGAGCCCAGAGTGAAGACTTGCCTGTCAGCCTCCCAGCCCCCTAGCACCCCTGCCAGCCGTGTACCTGGTAATCTAAAAAAAAAACCTGCAAAAGCCACTGAGGACTCTGACTCCTCCTTTACCTGGTCTGCTGGATCATAGAAAACCTGCTCTGTGGTCTTCCTGACCCTACACAATGAGAGCGTTTTTTTTTTTTTTAAAGGAATAAAATAAAGACAAAAAGCAGTTATGTTGTTAGCAGGAAGTATTCAGCATAATGTTGTTTTAACATTACAACTTAACTAAATTGACCTTGGTTATCAGACCTGTTGAAGAGAGACATATTACTCTAATTTAACAAAGGAATGAAAGAATCACTAAACAAAGTTTATTCATGAACTACCATTGTAATGTAAATGGAGATTGCCCAGGCTTTTGTGCTTTGACCTCTGTGTTATCACCTGCAACCTTAAATGTAGAAGGTGCTTGGGCGTGTGGGTGTGAGGCATATGCTGATGGCCACACGAGTATGGTGTGGGTGTGTGTAAGTGGACACACCTGAGCCTGGAGGCGGCACATGAAGGCAGCATCATAGAGGACGGAGTGCAGCAGAGGGCAGTGGAAAGACAGCAGAACCATGGCTGTAAGAGGAAGAGACCATGTGACAACGCCAGAGAGAGTAAAGATTCTCAGGGGGCTGGGAAGCTTGCCAGCCTCCCGACCCCCAGGCCCCCAGGCTGCTCTGCACCTGATTGTTCCACTACAAGTGGTGTAGAAGGATCATTAAAAGCCTGAAAAAGCCCCGGAGGGCTCCAGGATTCTCCTTTACCCATTAGTCTGGATCCTTTGAGAACCTGCCCTGTTCCTTGCTGGCACAACAAACATAAACTACCTCTGTGAGGTTAAAAAGCAATTGCAGCTTTCTAGCAGATAATTTATGGAGAATTAAAATAAAAAGAAATGAAGACTTGAGAAAGTAGTGCCAAATGGATGGAAAGTATGAAATTAATTATTTTAAATGTCTCCCTCAAAATCTGTTTCCTATAAAGAATCGGATATCTGTTGAACTTCAGAATTATTTACATTTCTTCAGAAGAGTTCTCACCAACAGCAGAAGAATAACATGAAGACGTATGTGTTGTCATATGAACCATGTATGATGGAGCTGGAAGAGGGTCCAAAGAGCTCATCCGTCCAGTCCTCTGTGTCCCCCTGGATGACTGTCTCAACTGCTTGAGGTAAGTGGTTCCTGTCTACTTTTGTCCTTTCTTTTTATGTAAAAATAAATGCAAAAAGAGAGAATACCTGTTTTCTTCTTGATTTTAAAATTTTCAGGAAAATGTTATCCCGCATATCACATTTCAGATACAGCTTTAAGTCAGTAAAATTTGTTTTATGGTTGTTAGGTAATATCAATAAAACTAAAAGGATGGTGGCAATATTTTCCTCATAGATAATTATTTCTATTTTCACATATAAAAGAATGAACTGATTTGAAGGACTAGTTAGAATTGAAAACATTACAAAAAGTATATAGAGGAAAATCTTAGTGGTGCTTGTTCAGCTGCCATCCAGAGGAAGAGTGTTAGTCGCCAGGCCTGACATATTCAGATCACATGGACATCTTAAGTCTACTTTGAGATCAGCATGTAAGAATGACTTAGCTTGCACACATTAAATTTGAAATTCATTTGACCTCTGACTCAATACTTATAAGATGTCTGCTATCATTTGGTTTTCCATAAAGCTCTGCCTACAAAGAGGTAGTAAACTTTAACCTGCACAGGCCATAAAATATGTTTTCAGAATCATATCTAGAATCATTCTGGGGAGAGCAGCTTCTTTCAATTTGAGGTTGTCGAGGTTTTTGCTTGGGAAACTGGTGAAACTAATTATCTTCCCTAGCTGCAACGCATGGTCCTAAGAATCCACACCTGGGCTGAGGCACTTGCGAACAGATACCCGGCAGTCAGACACTCAACTCCACCCCTGCCATTCCGTCTCAAGAGAGACCGTACTTCTGAGATGCACTTAGAGTGGCTGAGTCTCCAGAATTGCTGGTGAATCCTCTGGATGACAAACCATGTTCCAGCAGTCCCTGAGGCCAGATTGACCTTTAGTCATGGAAGTGCTGAGCCCTAATGATTGAGATCCCCACCTATAAAATGCCAGATGGAATCTGCAAAGGTAAGGATCTAGATTAATTTTTGATGTGTTGTATATCTTCAAGAAACCTAAATTCTACTGATTTTTTTTATGTTGATGTCACACTTTCAAACATCTTTTTATGGGCAAGGGAGGCGGTGTTTGTTGGGGGACTATTTGTCTTTAATACAGGTGGATCAACTGGGAATTTCTAAGTGGGTCTGACTCAATTCTCTGACAAACAGTGATGAGGTTTTCCTAAGGTACTTGCTTTCTGCTTGGATATATGGCCACAATGATGAAATTTCTAGCTTTTATTTATCTTTATGTACTGACAGATTAATTATCGTCAGGGAATATTGGTGGAGTGTTCGGTAGAGAGCTAGAGAATGGCTCTAAAATAGACAGTTACTTAAATTAAAAATTCTGCAAGTTTTCTTATGTAAAAGGGAATCTGCTACGAGTTTCTGAATCAAATCTGGGACAAAGTTTAAATCTGTATCAACTTAGGTTCACATATTAGTTATTTTCTGCTTCTTGTATAGGGGTTGATAGAGGTGGAAGGGAAGAGGGAGAGCCAAGAGAATTTTTTTTTAAATAGACCACAAACATAAATGAGAGTATATTCACCTATCTGCAACATGTGAAAACTATATGTTAGAAGAGACTGGTAAATAAATGAATTTATCAAATGCCTTTTCCGCTCTAATAATTACTCGACAAAACATTTTTTAAGTTGATTAATGCAAATGAATATAAGGTAGATTTTTTTGACATCAAAACAAACTTGTAATCAGGAACAAATTCTACTTGTTCATATCATAACCTTGGAAATTCTGGTCCTTTGAGTCTATGCATGTTAGGGTATGTTGCCCAGATGCTACCATCAGTTGGACTGGACGAACTTATCCCCCCAGTTCTCAATGGTGGGGATGCGCATAGCTCCCAGCAGAGTTTGTCCTCAGGGCTCCCTTCCCATGTCTGGTCCAGAGCTTTCTGTGGGACAGGCTGAAGTCACTGTTGTAACTATTCTGCAGTTCAAGTTCTTTCCCTAGCCCAACCCCACCTCTCATTTTCTGTGGGAGGTATTCTGAGAACACCCCTAAAAACCTTTGGCATGTGTATTTCTCCTTCAGAGTCTATCCAGGGAACCTGACCTTAGAAGCAAACTACATTTTATTTGCTAATATTTTGGTTAAAATTCAACCCAATTTAGTGAGATGGGTCTAGTTCTATATATCAATCATCAGATCTTGGAATTAAAATCAATCTGGCTTCATAAACTGAATCAGGAATTTCCCCCCTTTTTTCCATGGCCTGGAAGTGTTTAACAACATTGGAGTCATCTGTTCTTTAAAGATTAAACCCATCTGGTCTTCATGCCTTTTTCCATGACAGTTTCTTAATCACCACCCAGGCATCTTCTACAGTGATTAACAGTTTAAGTAATTTATATTTGTTAAGAGATCATTTACTTCCTCTATGTTTTCAAATTTGTAGCCATAGACTTGTAAGCAGTAATCTCGTATAATTCTTTTAATCATGCCTGTATCTGTGGTTTGTTTCCTTCTCATTTTTAGTCTTGCATGTTTTTCCAAGTGCCCCTACATGAGTGTTTACCATGCACACTCTCTCCTTTAATCAAGTTCACGGAGAGTTTATCTGCTTTATGGGTGTTAATTTTTTCAAGTTTTAGATTTATTTATCCTTTCTGTTTTATTTTGGTTTGTTTTCATTTTCTAGTTTATTACTTTCAGCTTTTATTTTTAATTTCTTTGCTATTCATTTCCTAATTTCTGGTAATGAGAACAAAATTTTTTTTTTCTCTAATAATTAAGAACTGAAAGAGTAATTTAAGACAATAAATTACTCAGGGAATGGCTTTGTTGCTCTGTATCTTTGATTTCTCAATAGATTTAATTTCACTTTTTTGTTTTAATTCATGGATAAACTTTCCAACAGTTAAAACCATTATAATTTGATTTCATTGGGGTATATGATCAAGAAATTTGATGCTAAATTTTTTTTGTTTTAATTTTTGTATTTTGTATGTGATCAGAGGTATCTCTTCAGGTATGTATACTTTCCTTTTTGAAGCTTCAACTGGTTAAGCTTTTCTGTTAGTTAAAAGCACAACTAATTTTGTAAATGTTTTATGAAACCCTAGAAGAAAATATATATTCTCTACTAGAAGGGATTTATGGTCCTATATATACCTAGTAAATGAAATTACCGATTTGTCTGTGAAGTTTATTCAACCCTGAAATACCTCTATGTAAGCCTCTGTAGGGTAAAGAAAATATCAGGCTTTTCTGCCCTTTCGCCATCAGGATAGATGATGGATCCTTGTCCTGAATGCATGCCTGATGGCGGGCACCTGGAATAGGGTGTGGGCATAGGTAGATGGGATTCAGCTGAGCTAAGACTGTGCTTTTAAGGGCGGCGTCACGGGGACTCCAGCAGCAGCAGTAGCAGGAGCAGCAATAGAGGCCGAAGCAGAAGCCGAAAGAGAAGCAGAGAAGCAGCAGAACGAACGCTAGAGAGCCCAGATAGAGTGAAGACTTGCTGGGGGCTGGGAGGCCTGCCAGCCTGCCAGCCTCCCAGCCAGCACCCCTGCCTGCCATATGCCTGGTGAACCCCAAATAAAAAACCTGCAAAACTACTGAGGACTCTGACTCCTCTTTTACCCGGTCTGCATGGGATCAGAAAACCTGCACTGTGCCCAGTCTGGCCTTTACAGCCTCTTTCTCTTATTGTAATTTTATTATGTTATCTGCATTTCTATTTTTGATTTACATGTAATTTTTTGCTGTGATGTTATGTGAAGTTTACTTTGCTAAAGTTTTGGAACCTGTTGTGGAGTAGTTTTAGCATTTCTTTCGAAACCATTCATCATCCCCCTACTGGAAGTTTCTCACTTCCATTTTGCAAGGGCAGAATGTTAGTCTATCAGCCCCTTTATTCTGCCTGCACTTTACCTTTCTTCCTCAGTGCTGACACTCACCATCAGAAATCGTACTCTCTTTAACATATTAACCACTTTTTCTTCCTTCTTTCCTTCCCAACCATGCTGGGAGTACACTGTATTTTCCTCAGGAGATTTTTCCAATATGAAAGCCCAGAAGCCACGATTATGTATCAAGACATATTTTCCTTTTATTTTTAAGTGTCTTGCATCTTGTCTGATATCACTCTTTTCATTTGCTTGATAGTTTAGTCCCATTTATCTTTAATATCAAGTTGTTTGCAATTGAACTGTGTATTTTAAACAGTCTGATACTGACATTTAAAGGAAGAAATTGTCCATTCATATATAATGTAATGATTGATATATTTCGTTTTGTCCTTGCTGGGTTTTTACATCTCTGACTTGTTCCTGGCTGGTTGATGGAACTCTAAGTTGTGACAGTGTGTTGAGTGATGGATGGTAGCGATCCCATGTGAACTGACAATGAAATGGTTGCCTGTATCCAGGTCAGCCATTAAAAGAAACCCCAGGCTTCTCACCCCAAGTTTCAGGAGTGGGAGAACATAGAATAGCCATCTAGCAATTTCTTGACTTATTTAGGGGATGGGATCTGATGTCTTTCCTGTTCTGCATGGTAAGCAGTTCTCCTGGGGACATACTTTGTTTTTTCTTTTTTAAATTATTATTTATTATTTTAAAACTACTGCTTTCTGATTCTTGTCCCTGGCTGTCTGATATAGACGTGAGGCTTTTCAGTTGCACAGGAAAAGCTCACATTGGTACTCTCCCCTCAATGCTTCCAGGGCCCAAGGCCCTGTTAACACCCAGTTCTGCACTGATCTAAGAGATAGACAAGATAGGCATGTGACCTGGCATTGGAAGTAAGAAGTAGGTAGTAGCAATGATTTATTTTTTTAAAGATTTATTTATGCATACAATAACTGAGGTGTAGGCCAGAGGTGTGGGGGCTGGGAGGGTGACGAGTCACCAGAGACACAGTGGGGAACAGAACAGGCAGACTGACTGAAATACACTGCTGAGGGGAGCAGTGGGCGATACAGGAGAGGTCTGTTGCACCATGTGGGTAGCTCCCTGGCTGGTCAGGCACCGAACTTCTGTTGCAGAGGCTGTGGATAGCTTCACAGTGCTGTGCTTAACTCCTTGCACCACCAGGGAGGCCCAGCAATGATTTCTTATGTGCCTTTCTTGGTATAAAAGACATTAATTTTAGCAGGGTAAATGGGGGAAATTTTTTTTTTCTAATTCCTTCTTTTTCACTCTGTGTCTTAGTGATTTTTATTCTACTTTAGTGTGAACCCTTCTGTAATATATGCTAATGATGTTCTTTTCCCTTGAACTATCAAATGGGCCCTGAGAAAACTGATTGTTAGTATCAAGGTTTAATGTAACTACTTTAAGTGAAAATCATTATTTTTGGTATTTAGCCTATAATACTTAATTTGTTTATATCAAATAACTTCATCACTGAACATTTTATTTCATTACTAGGTAATAGTTCATCTTGAAGTTTCGTTAAGAAGTAAAATTGCTTTAAAATAGACATAAAAATATATCTACAAACACATGGACACACTTCCAATTACAACAACCAACAGGACATTCAGTTAAACATGAACAAAAAAAATACAATTTTCAGTATAAGTATATCCCGTGAAATGTTTGGGATATATTTAAACTAAATTTGATCATTTTTTAATCCGAAATTCAAATTAGAGTGCAAGTCCCGTATTTTATCTGGGAATCCTAAAATATGTAAAAATATGTAGACAAGTACATGTTGATTGTGGGTAAGAGAGGAAGATTGATACTGTTCCTGTTTTGAATTTTTCAAGGCTAAAATCACAGTGGTCGTGCTTTATGGCAGATAGTTCAAACTATATTAGAGTAACTGCATGAAGGTGTGAATCTCTCTTGTTCACTGATGTATCTTCACCATTTGTCATAGTGTTTGACACAATCTGTCTTTAGTGAATATTTTCTAAATAATTGAATAAACTAGTACTTTCTGATACCAGAACCCAGATGGTACCTCAAATGTAAACTACATTTTCTATTAAAATGTGAGGATTTAAACTTAAAGAAGCATGTACCCATCATTTTTATGTTTTTGCTTATGGGTGTTTCATCATAAGAAGAATTTGTCTAAGAATTTCAAAATTACTATACTATGTTACAGAAAACTTTGTGTGCGTGTGTGTGTTTGTGTGTGTTGACCATTATTTTCAGAGGAGATTCTGAGAATGAATGTAACCTTTTTAGTCTCCCAATCTTGCCTTAAAGTAATACATACAATCTGCATTCTAGGTTCTTGTGTTTAATTCTCAACTACTAATGCTCACAAGTATTGTAAGAAATACTTGCTGAGTTGCCTGGAGGTAAGCTGTCTACTCATTCTTCAAGGTATTAGAAGTTTTGTCTTTGAAACCATTATAAGATCATCATTATCCTTGGATCTCAGTTTTTTTAATTCTTGACTTTGTCTTTTCTGAATTATACTTTGGTATTATGTCATAGGTCAGCATTAAAGAAAAAATGAGGGAAAATTACTGGCTATTTCATTCTTTTTATTTTATTAAAATTTGGTTTGTTGTATTTCTGGTATACACAAAGGGTTTATCAATTCATTTATAAAGTGTTGATTTTAAGCTTGCTCTCTAAATGTGGCCCAGTTCTGTGAGTTGTGACAAGGCATGTGATATTCCTGCAACCATGGAGATACAGCATGGTCCCACCACTCCAAAAGCTTTCTTCTTCTCCTTTGTAGTCAGCGCCTCTCACAGCCTTAGCCCAGGCAACCTGATATGTCACTGGTTTGCATTTTCTAGAGTTTTACATATATGGACACATAGTATGCATGTGCTTTTTTGTAAGGCTTTGTTCAGCACAAATAATTTGAAGTTCATCGAAGTTGTTGCATGAATCTATAACTTGTTCTTTTTTTAAATTGTCTTCATGGCAACTGTAAAAGGAGTATATGTCTGTAGTTTTCCATTGTGTGGATATAAGGCAATTTTGTTTCATCACTCATTTGTTGATGAACATTTGAGTTGTTTGCAGTTTGGGGCTATTACAAGGAAAGCTGCTATAAGCGCTCAATTACAAGTTGCTGGGGTAGACCCATGCTTTCATTTCTTTTGGGAAAAAATCCAAGAGTAGATGGCTGCATCATATGGTAGATGCATGTTTATAAATTTTAAGAGATTGCCAAACCTTTTCCAATGTTGTTACACAGCCTCACATTCCTATCCATAGTTGCCCCACATTCTCTCTAGCACTGGGCATAGTCAGTCTCTTAAATTCTAACCATTCTGATAGACTTGTAATATCACATTGTGATTTAAATTTGCATTTTCCTAATAACTAGGGAAATGAACTTGAAAATTTTTCACATGTTTACTTATCATCTTTAGTGATTTGTTTATTCAAATCATTTACATGCCCACCCCTTTTAAATTGAGTTGTTTTCTTATTGAGTTTTGGGGACTCTGTATATATTTTCAATACAAGTTCTATACCAGATATATAATTTGCAAATATTTTCACTGTCTGGCATATTTCTTCTTCTCTTAACGGTTTTTCTTTGGATAGCAGAAGGTTTAATTTTGATAAGGTCAAACTTGTTAATTTGTTCATTTATAGATCATATTTGAGGTCATTTCACGGATTATATTTGAGATCCCTTCAGTTTATGATCCCTTTTTTTTATTTCATCCTAGTTACTTTATTATTTTTTTGTAGTTTTACTTTTTTTATAATAAATTTTATTTTTATATTCCCCATACAATTGCAACCCCCTTATTTTGACCCCAATCCCTCCCCTCCCGCCCCCTACCCCCCATAGAGTGTCTCCGGTTCATAGTTTTTTGTTGATTTTGATTTTCACTTTCTTATAGTTATTCATTTCCCTGGTCTTATGATCCATTTTAAGTGATTTTTGTATATGATAGGAGATATGGATCTAAGTTCATTTTCCTGCATATGTAATTATTTCAATACCACTTACTGAAAATACTTTCCTTTCCCTACTGACTTACCTTTATACCTTTGTTGAAGATCAATTGTCCATACATGACACCACCTCATTTTAGTTATTGCAGCTCCATATAAGACTTGAAATCAGACAGTGGTGGTTCTCCAACTTTGTTCTTCCTTTTCAATTTGTTTTTGACTATTAGGGATCCTTTATGTTTGCATAATAAATTTTAGAATCAGCTTATCAATTTCTACTAAAAACTCCCTTAGATGTTAATTAGAACTGCATTGATTCTACAGATCAGTTTGCAAAATGAGCATTGTTGATGATGACTCTTGCAATTGTGCCTGCCTAATGGATGCCCAATGATTTGATTAAAATGTAAGGATCACTGCTACTTACTAAATGCATCCATTCACCTGATGTTATCAAAGAACTGTAAACATATACTCTTACATTTTTTTAGGTTAAAATAGTACAGGATTAAATATGAAAAAACTCAGATTAACCTCAAAATCTGTATTTTGAATTAATATGAAGGAAGACTGATGCTTTTTGAAACATTGTAGAATTGTTATTTCATAATAAAAACAACATAGGAACATATACAGAGATATGAGAGGGAAAGCCTGAAAAAGAGAATGGCAAGAAACTTGATGTGGGTGTGGACATGAGCTCTCACCTAGGGAGGCTTTTTCAATAGGCTCAA